CGGAAGTGGCATTGTGGCTCAAGTGGTAGAGTGTTAGCCTTGAGCTGAAGAGCTGAGGGACAGCGCCCAGGCCCAGAGTTCAGGCCCCAGGACCAGACTCAAAAAAAAAAAAAAAGTCCTCCTCTTCTTTAATCTTCCCAAGAAGCTAGGACTACAGGCAAGTACTACTGTGCTATCTCAAATCCTTTCTTTTAACTGACACTTTCCCATTTCTTTTTTGTGTGTATGTGTGCAATATGCCAGTACTTGGGCAGGCACTGTCCTTGAGCTTTTGTACTCAAGGCTGCTCTACCATTTGAGCCATAGCTCCGCTTCCAGCTTTTTGATGGTTAATTAGAGATAAACCGTCTCATGGACTTTCCTATCAGGGCTTGTATCCAACCTCAATTCTTAGTTCATAGTCTCCTGAGTAGCTCAGCTTATAATGTGAGCCACAGTGCCCACCTCTGACATGTTCTTTAAACTGTACATAATGGCACTGGCCTATAATTCCTTGATGTGAGAGACTACAGCAAAAGGATGGTAGGTTAAGGCCAGCCTGGACTACATAATGAGACCTTGTTTCAAAAACAACAACAACAACAAAAACAAAACCCACAAACCAAAAATAAAAATAAAACCAAAACAACAAGCAGCAGAAACAAAAACTGGAGCCCTTAATAATCACTCTAATATATTCATTAACAAGACTATAGCTGGCTCAGATATTAAGAAAATGATATAAAAATACATTTTGATTTATTATACATGAACAATTCATACATCGTACTACAGGATTGTATGGATATAAATTGGTCATAATTGTATTGACATTATTTTTTTGAGTAAACAGATTTTTCAGATAGCATCTTTTCAGTTTGTTACTCCCAAAACAACTGGTGACATAATTTAAACACAAACTGGGACTCAGTCAGATTGTTACATACCTGCATATGGAGCCATTCCTAAGATAGTAGGTATCAGGCCTCTGTAAAATCCTCGGACACCACCTTCCTTTGAGTGAGGGAAAATGAGAAGTGAGACTACATTGTGCTCACTATGATAAATAGCTCAGAAGGAAAGCATGTGATACAATGGAGACAGACATTACTATAGGACTCACTTGAACCACAAATATTACCTTTCATCATCTTCATCATCACTATCATCATCATCATCATCATCAGTATTTGCAAATAAAAAAATCTAGACATCATTCAAAATATTTTCCTAAATACAAAAGGGCATGAAACAAATGAGAGAGATAAGATGAAATACCTTGGCGTAAATTGTCTTGAATGCATGAATGATTCCTGTATAAGTGTGTTCCCCTTTCACCTGGAATGCTAGACGTACTCTAACCATGTCAAGAGGGTAAGTACAGACGACAGCAGTCATACCTGAAACACAGGAGAAATCTGAATGGATAAACTTTTGACTTAGTTTGTACATATACATATTGTATATGTGTATGTGTGTGTGCATCCTTTTCTTCATCACTAATAATGCTCTCAGTATTATTGGGTTGATCTAATTTCAACAAACTGGGCACTATTAGCTCCTGTCTATAATCCTAGCTGCTCAAGAGGCTGAGATCTGAGGATTGATGGCAGTTCAAAGACAGCCAGGACAGAAAAGTAGCACGAGAGACTCTTATCTCCAATTAACCACCAAAAAAAAAAAAAAAAAAATGCCAGAGACAGAGCTGTGGCTCCAATAGTAGAATGCTACCTCTGAGCAAAAAAAAAAAGACAGTAAAAGCATAAGGCCATAGATTCAAGCCACGGCACAAACTAATTTCATATCAAAAAAAGGCATTAATGATTCAATTATATGTCAGCAGGAAAACAACCTAATAAGAGTTAGTTTGTAAATCTTCAAGTTCTTCTTGTGAAGTTATATGGTTAGCAACAAAACAGTACAGTTTCAATCTATTATGAGTTCTGAAAAACAAATTCATTAAAAAAAAAAAAAA